TTCAGTGAGAGAGTTGTCTCAAAATAGCAAGTCAAAAAGTGGAGAAAATTTTGAGTACATAAATAGGTTAAAAGATCTGAACGAAAAAAATTATGTGATGGGTAGGATCTTTATGCGATGAAGTAGCATCTTTTGGATACCAGCATGGTGACAAAATATACCAGATAAGAAATACACAGTGCAGTCATTGAGATAACTACTGATTACTTCTGTTAGTCCTTAGTAAAGGCCTGCCAAACTCCCAGCCCATGGGCCAGATGCATCATGCACTGGCCATGCCCATGCCCGGTTTAGAGAAAGGGGGGAAGTCTCAATTCATCACGTGACACTGCCGTGACAACATGAGTTTAACACCCCTGCCTTAGTTGTTTGTTTTTCATTATACTACATCATCTTGAAGTGTTAAACTGGTAACATTACTGTAGATGAAGACCCAATGTTAGGATTATATTAAGCACCACTCTAATTACTGGGAGAAAGTATGTCCCGGTCTCATGAAGAAGTGATAACATGGCCAAAACAAAGAAGTGAGGAAGTTGGATGTTACAGTTACTAACAATCACAATATGTAAAGCAAGAACACTTGAAGTGAGATGTAAGAATTTGAGAATTTAAGAAGTAAACAAACATGAGTGTTTGTTTACCCCAAGTGAAGTTAACCACTAAATAAGAGTTAACATGATATGCTATGCATTTTGACAACCACTGCCAGTTGCTGCAGATTCAGTGGTATACAAATGGGAGAAAACTGTTTTGCCAAAAATCAGGAGGAGTCTGGTGGAACCTTTTGTTTAACTTTTATTAAAAGGCATACTATTTTGTGAATTACATCTCACTTCATCAGATTCACTGAGTGTCAATGGATATAGGTTTTAAATTAGGATAAGGTGGGAGAATAAAGGGGGAGGAAGACAGGTCCTAAATCATCTGTTTAAATTTTACATTTATTTAGTTGCTTCAAGCAACATAAACCAGGCTCTAAATATATGGGCACTTCCAATACAGAACATCTGAATCACTTCCTAATAGTAAGTATAGAGTACATGTAATTCACTCATCCAGATAATCCAAGTGTAAATTACAGAGCAGATCATGGATTATTAAGATCATATATATGGGTCAAGTTTAGAAAATTAAAGAAACAGCTGAACCAGCAAATCTTGACTCAACCTGAACCTCGAGTCAGAATGTAAGATCAATATAAGGAAGAAATTCAGAACATTCCAGTTATAATATGTAAAAGAGAATCTGAAAACCTATGAGAAGAAATAAGAGATTGCATGAAAACCGCATTTTTTTTTCTAAGCTGGTATACCCAGCTCAGAAAACCAGGTACTGAGAAAAGAAGAAAGAAGATAAATGGTTTCAAATTAGGCATTTGGATATGGTTAGTAATAGTTTCAGGAGACTGCAAGATAAGCCAACAAAGCTGGACAAATAAAGACTGGCTATTTCCTTGAGATGATGATGAGCAAGCATACATTCATGTATCCCGATTTAAGTGAATGATAGTCAAGAAAAATGACTGTGTTTGGCAAAATTGAGAGAAGTAGAAGAGGAAGGCAATGGATCAAGTGATGGACAGAATCATGTCCTGGGAACTCTACAGATTATGGCCAAAGGCAAATTGAGATGTCAAGCATTGGATGCTCAAGAATCAATATGTGATAGTTGCATCTCATGTTGTAATGCTGATAGCCATCCATCCATCCACCCATCCATTTTCTGTACATATATAGTATGCATCTACAGTACATTTTAAATCTCATGCATGCTTGAGAAAGCAATATCTGATTTCAAATAGTATTGAAGGGATCTATGATAATCTATCATGTGAATGTACATGTATCTTTCCTCATATTCAGCATATCTGACATGTTGGCCTAGTATATCATTAAATGAATGAGTTTTTCTATGTCAAAATCTGTATGTTCCTCTTTTTGAATGTCACTTTGAAATAATCCTCTGCACATATCCAAAAGGTCTCATGTGATGCCCTGGATCCATGTGTATCAACCACTATAGTGCCATGGAACATAGGATTCATTTTTTAATGCACTGATCCTAGATTTGACAGTGGCTCTTTTTTAATTTCTCTGGCAAACACATTTAGATTTTGAAATGTTACATACAAACTACCAAAACTTGGAGAGTGAACTATTCCTTATTTATTTCACCTGTGATAATAGATGTGCATAAAAATCAGTGATTTATGTAGTTACATGTTTGAGATTTAGGTTGGTTGTACAGTGGTAGCACAATGAATCACTGATTCATTGAACTTCCCAGTATACTATATGAATTTGCGTCTTTTGAAAATATTTGGGAGAGGCACAATTTCTGTGATTCATAAGGATTTATGTCTCAGATCCATGAGTTAGCTTTGATGTAACATTTCATATAAAATTATGATAATTCTTAAAAATATGAACCTCAGAATCTTCTTCCCACAGGGTCCAAAAATTATCAGATCAGCTGAAATTCAAAAAGAAACCTATTCTATTTTGCATGCATTAGAAAAAAAAGAATTAAAAGTTGTGATTTTGTTCTTTTTGTCTCTTGAGAAAGAAATGGGATTTATAGCTTCATGGTGTTTCAGACAGATATCATGTAAAAATTTAGGAGCATCCATATTCGAGACTTTGGGGAAAGGTGGTTGCATTATGGTAATGCCAAAAATAATCAGAATGAGTATTCTGATGGCTAATTCTGTGCAGAAGGATGTGGGCTAAGTTTCTGGTAAATCTCATATAGAAAGTACAAGAATCCATGCTTCAGAGCCAAATTTTGAAACCGTAAATGTCAGATATCTATGGAGATTCACAGTCATCCAGGTCATGATTGCCCCAAAGATGTTTTTTAAAAGGCAACTGGAATTTCTTTGTTTTTTCCTTGAAGACTTTTCACTTCTCATCCAAGAAGCTTCATCAGTTCTGACTGAATGGTGAATAGAAGGATTTATATTCCTTGCAGACATCTGATCATTAGCACTCTTTCTCAGAGTTGTTGAGGCCATGTGAAGGTTTATGAAGGGACAGTCCTTTCAGCAGTTCCAAAAAGGTTCCACACCCATTTGCACTATTGAGGTGACCCTGAGGGCACAGATAAACCTCCAAATGGCCTCAACGAATCTCAAAAAGAATGCTAAAGACCAGATGACTGCAAGGAATATAAATTTTTCCATTCTCTACCATTTAGCCAGAACCGAAGAAACTTCTTGGATGAGAAGTGAAATGTCCTCAAGGAAAAACAAAAAAGTCTAGTTGCCTTTTGAAAAAGCACCTTTGGGACATGTCAATGTTAGAATCCATCAGAATAATTATGGCTCAGTTCCCTGAGGAATGTTATGGTATGGCTTTATGTAAATGTCACCAGAAATTGTGAACTGCAGTGAGGCTCAGTGGCTCAATTCCATGTTTTTCCACCACAGTAGGGCAAAAAACAATCTTAGGATATAAGATTGTGATGGCAGACTGAGTGCTGTGCAAATCAGTAAGATCTAAGGACATCCACATTTTGCCCCATGCTGGCACCAAAAATAATTGGATCTGTTATGCTTAAAATGATGGTTATGACAAGGTCCCCAGGTAAAATTATAAGAATCTTTGATGAACCACATCTCAGATCCCAAATAGTTAAGGTGCCCTCTGGACAAGTGGGTATGATAAGACAATAGTTTCCTGTGTGTCTCACATATCCATAATTTAGATCCACATTTTGCAGGATGAGAAACTGTTGGTTTCCTGATTTTGTTGCCGATTCCATGCAAACAGCTGTGATCCATGATTCACAGCTGTGATCCATGATTCGAGTGTGGTTTCCTTATTAAAATTCTTTATAAAAACCATGCAACTCACACAAACCTGAGTTCCACATGTTTTTGTTATCACTGTGTCAATAATTCCCACACCATGCGATGATACATGTGCTCGGCAGTTTGAGGGTGGCTTCCTTAAGGACCATGCAAATTCACTGGCATTTTTAACAGCATAAGGAACGTATGATGTCATCGCGATTTGTTAATACTTTTGAGGGGAATCCCGTGGCTGAGTTACAGGGCGCCAACTTTCCTCCAGACCTTTTTTACCCCATCCTAAATTCGAGCCACGAGAACTTGGCAAGTAGGGCTAAGTTATAAATCCGAGGAAAAAACAAAAAGAGCCGCAGGACCAGAAACGCGAAGAAAGTCCTTTTGGATGAGTGAGAATAACGTTTGAAGGTACCTCCAGCCGACTAGTTGGGAAATGACTTTCAAGTGCGCTTGGCGATCGGGGCTTTATTCCAACGTCCCGATTCAATTCCCGGTTTGCTCCCCCACCCGCCCGGCCCAAACAACAAACAAGGTGCGATCCTGCCGGCTGTTCGCCTCCCCGTGTCAGCCGCAACCCCAGGAAAGAAACCCAAAGCAGCCGAAAGAGGAGCCCTCCGCGTCCGTCCTCCTTCTCCATCCTCCCCCGGTCGCTGTCGCCGCAGCTGAGAATGAGCCATCCCCCCACCACCACCTCCACGGCCGGCAGGGCGAAGATCCGCCGCCACGGCCGCCGAGAGGATCCCGAGACTCGTCGCCTTCTTTCTTCTTGCAGAAGCAGAAGCAGCCACCGCTACCCGCCGCCCTCCTTCTCCCCCGGGACTCGATCGCAACCAGAGGACCCTTCTAGGAGAGACCGTCCCGATCACAGCTTTCCCGCTGTCTCCCTCCCTCCCTCCCTCCCTCTCTGCTCCTCTCTCCCGCTACCTTGCTGTCTCCGTTTCACGCAGCCCTTTCCGATGCCTTCCACCTTCGTGTGCTAAGGACGCCGGGGCTGGCAGCCCTTCGCATCCACGCCAACCCACTGAAGTTCCTAGCCAGCCCCAGCTTAACTCCCCAGCGCAGGGAGGAGGAGGAGGAGGAGGAAGGCGACACCGGCTGTACCCCCCTCCCCTCCTCGGGTCCAACTCAAGGGTCCCCGGGGGAAGCCGGCAAGACCGAGCAGGACCGTCCTTACCTGGATGCAACATACTTTGGAAATAGAAGATGACGAGGGCGAAGGATCCCAAGCAAGTGACCAAAACCATCCGACAAATCCGGTTGATCCTCATTACTTCCAGCAGCGCCTGCTTCATGGCTTTGTCCCGGCGAGAATACTGTAGGTAGGTGGCGGGGAGGAGGGAGACCCTCACCCCGCAGGCTCTTCTTGCCCAAGAGTTGCGTGGCGGAGGAGCCGGAGCACGCGACCGCAGGGGCAAAGCGACAGTCTGGGGCAACCGGCCGGCTTCTTTGGGGAAACTGGGCTGGCGCGATGCTGCCGGCGGCGGCGGCAGCAGCGGCGGCGGCGGCGAGAGCTCCCTCCTCCTTCCGCTGCTGCTGCTGCTGCTGTTGCTCCGGAGGATGCCTTGGACAGCAAGCTCGCAAGCGCCGCTTCATTTGGCTGGGAGCTAGTCCTAGCTTGGAGGCTACCACTCGACTGAGTTGGGGGGGGGGGAGACCACTGAGGAAGCCTGTGCAACCTGCAGAAGGCCCGCGTCACCTCCGAGACGGTCGCCTTGGAATACCCATTCGAGTCACCCTACTGGAGAATATGGTCGCGCCCGACGGTTTCCCAAGCCGTTCCCAAACGGTCTCGCCGCTTTCTTCGCGGTCCTAAAGCCACCCGAGTCGCAGAAGGATGCAGTGCGCAGGCTGAGGTGGGTTCGTGGTCTCGGATGGTGTGGAGCATCTCCTCCTATCCCGTCTGGCCAGGTGAAAAGAGGTTTGCCTGGGTGGGGGGGAGGTTCCATGCTCTGCTTTCTAAGGTACCCGGAGCTTTTGCTGTTTGAACCCGCCTGATGGTGAGTTCATCAGGGCTTCAGGAAAATTGTCTCAACATACGCCCACACAAAAATCACCACAATGATGTAATCCCCAATTGTAACTTCAAAAAAGGCAACTATGATCTTATAGACAATGATCTCTCATCCCTTGATTGGCAATCTCTATTCACTGGATGCAATACTGTTGAAGACCATTACAACATATTTTTACTTGAAGTCAAAAGAGTCATCAAACTATATGTACCAATAACAACTCCCAAAACAAAACAAAAAAGCAGATTACCCATAACAATAAGGAAACTTCAATCCAAAAAGAGATCACTCTGGCGGAAAAACAAATCTGGTCACGTTGCCAATTTCAAAAGCCGATACAAAAATTTATGCCACCAGATAAAGACCGAATGCACCAATTATCACATTAAACAAGAGGAAAACCTTCTAAGCACCAATTCCACCCGTGCTTTTTACAATTTTGTAAACAACAAACTAAAAGACTCAAGGTCCATCCCTCCCTTGATAGGACCTGATGGTAAAGACTGCAACGACGACACCATTAAAGCCAACATCTTTAACACATTCTTCGGCTCAGTATTTGTAAACAGCAATGGATCATGCCCAATATTTCCTAGCCGTACCACAGATAACAACAATGATCTAATACATATCGATTTCACAGAAGACAATGTTGAAAAAGCAATACGCAACCTAAAACCATCTCTATCTATTGGACCGGATGGAATATGTGCCTACTTCTTAAGAAAGCTATCCACTGCCATAGCCAAACCTCTAAGCATAATCTTTGAAAAATCTTTCAGGACCAGCTCCTTGCCTAACCTATGGTCACAAGCCACAGTCATCCCCATCTTCAAAAAGGGAGACCCAAGCCTAGTTGAAAATTACAGACCAATCTCCTTATGCTGCGTCACCTGTAAAGTCATGGAATCAATTATTAACCAATCCATCATCCTCCACTTAGAGACAAACAACCTACTCTCCAATAAACAATTTGGTTTCAGAAAAAAACTATCCTGTAATCTGCAACTCTTACACTGCAAAAACATATGGACGACACAACTCAACCAGGGCAAAGCAATAGACGCAATCTACATAGACTTCTGTAAAGCCTTTGATTCAGTGGTACACAACAAACTACTCCTAAAAAATAAAATCCTATGGTATCTCTGGACAACTGAATAACTGGATAGAAGCATTCCTGGCAAACAGACAACAAATGGTCAAAATTGGGAGCGTCCTATCAAATTCTGTACCTGTCAATAGTGGTGTCCCCCAAGGCAGTGTTCTAGGACCAACTCTCTTCATACTCTACATAAATGACCTCTGTGATCATATTAAGAGCAATTGCGTTCTTTTCGCTGATGATGTAAAGCTGTTCAATACCACAGACAATACTGCTACCCTACAAAAAGATCTTGACTATGTATCCGAATGGTCAAACAAATGGCAACTTCAAATCTCAACAAATAAATGCTCTGTCTTACATATTGGCAAAAAAAATCAGAAAATAAAATACAAGCTGAATAGTCAAGATCTTGTTGATGACCCAAGCTCTGTAAAGGACCTTGGAATACTCACCTCTAATGATCTAAGTGCTAGAGCCCACTGCAACTACATAGCCAGAAAGGCATTAAGAGTTGTTAACCTAATCCTACGTAGCTTTTTCTCTGGTAATATCACACTACTAACCAGAGCATACAAAACATTTGCTAGACCAATACTCGAATACAGTTCATCAGTCTGGAACCCACATTACATATCTGATATTAGCACAATTGAGAAAGTCCAGAAATATTTCACAAGAAGAGTTCTCCACTCCTCTACTCGCTGTAGAATACCTTATGCCACCAGACTTGAAATTCTAGAACTAGAAAACCTTGAATTACGCCGTCTTCGGTCTGACTTAAGCATGGTATACAAAATCATACATTGCAATGTCCTACCTGTCAATGAATACTTCAGCTTCAACCATAACAACACAAGAGCACACAATAGATACAAACTCAAAGTTAACCGCACCAAACTTGATTGCAGGAAATACGACTTCAGCAATAGAGTGGTCAATGTCTGGAATACTCTACCGGACTCTGTAGTTTCTTCCCCAAACCCCAAAAACTTTAACCTTAGACTGTCTACTATTGACCTCACCCCTTTCCTAAGAGGTCTGTAGGGGGCGTGCATAAGCGCACCAACGTGCCTACCGTCCCTGTCCTATTGTTTCTCTTCTTCTTTTATTTTTCTTATATGTACCCATTTCATGTATTCACAACTATGTATTCACTTATACTTATTATCTTGTAAACAATTGGCAAATCAAATAAAATAAATAAATAAATAAATAAAATAGTCCTCATTTTTCCTAGCATTTTGGTTAGATGTAATACAGGTAGGGTGACCATATTTTCTTGTAAAAAAATGCCTGAAAAGGGAGAAAATCTGAAAGAGGTTCATATTTATAATTTTATTTTTTTAAAAACACTCAAGAGCACAACCAAGAACACATTCTAATAAAAATATCTAAAATTAACCAATATATGTATTCTTTTTAAAAAGACAATTCAATTTCTATATTTTTCTCATGAATAGGAAAAACTGTCCATTAGCTGATACCCATAACAAAGTTACAAGTTAAATGATCAAAATAATGGTCAAAAGTGAGTTTTTGAAGAATAAATAAATCTAAAGCATAAATTTCTGAAATAAAAGATTGTCCTTTATAATAAATAGAGGTATCAGCCAACTGAGGATTTTTTTTCTCTGTATATATTTCATGGCCCTGTACAAATATTTACGTAAGAATTTATTTTAAGTAGTAGGAGAGGTTTCTTCCTAGAATAAAAGGTAGATGTGGAGAAAATAAATAAATAAAATACTTAACTTGAAAATATTTTAATAAACTCTTGGTAGCCATAGCAGTCAAACTGTTGTACACATCATCAGGCTAAGACATTGCATCCATTGAGATATGAAGCAACCTAAACAACAAAAGAAAAAAATTCTCTTGGTCTTAACTAATTACAATCTGTTTTAATTTTTTTCATTCTAGATGTTGTGTACTGCCTTGAATGTTATATAGGTGGGATTGCTGAGTTGAAATAAATAAACATTATCCAAGTTTTCAGTGTCCTTTTTCAATTTTGGAAGCTAAACTTTAATTGATACGAAATAAACATGATATTCAAATATCCATGAGGGAAGGAGGCATTGTTCAGCAAAGGAGGACATCTCAATTTCAACAGATAAATTTCTAATTTAGGATAGGAAATATGTGAACACTGTGTGGTAAGACCTAAAATACGTTTAACACTTTTTTTTAAAGGAACTCATAGCCCCCAGTCTAAATCCTTACGCTAAAGAACAATCTGGCAAATCTGGACATTACCTGATGAGAGATGCAACTCCAACTCCATCACCTTTGCATTGTCAATCCTCAACTTGTTTTTTTTTCTAATGCAGGAAAAATTAAGAAGCTAGGTAACTGCAATTCTCCATGCAAAAAAAGAGCTCATAGTGACAGACCAGCTTGTTATCTACAGATCCTGTCTGCAGATCTTCAGATCATTTATTAATTCTTCCTTTGTCACTTGATGATATGACTTTAAAAAATCCTATAAGGATTTCTTTAAATAAATAAAGTGGAGGCCCATTTTCTGTCTGTCAACAATGTACTTTGAAAATTTATTCTAAAGACACAAGACACAACATGTTTATAGCCAGACAGGAACAAAAAGGAATAATTGTAACTTTTTGAAGCTTTGATAGCACAATGGATACTTGCGGAAAAAATAAATCCAGACAACTTGGCTTTTTGATGTCCTAAAACCCTTAGGGAGACTTTGGATACTACACACCCTATCTGTGAAAGTAATCGATGCAATATACTGAATCAGTAAAATTTGTGCATCCCTCTGCATTGTGCAATACTGTATTGCTTTCAGCTGTAAAACAACCTCTCCTACAAAGATTATGAAAGACAAAGGCAAGTAGGAGAATTTATCCTTGATGCTCATTTCAATAGTACTAATTTATGACTAGTTCTATATGAAAAGCAAATTAAGATATCAGATCTACATGACTCGAGTGTCCAAATAAATCAAAACAGATATACATGCATTCATACAAGAGTGCATTCTTTTCTCTCTTTCCTTTTCTTTTGCCAAATTTTGATATAGCTTATTTCTCTTTTTTACACATTTCTCTTGTTTAATAGCATGGTGCCCTATGGACTAATTCTTTCTTTGGGCCAGGAGGTTGTTCCAGTAGAAACACATGTTCACTGTTATCCTCACAATTTCCTGTATTTTATTGGCTAGAAATTACCATTCTCCTCCCCTGGTATGATATGAGCTGACTGAGTACCGAAGTCCTCTGTTTTGTCCTCTTTTATCTCTGTTAATATCAAATTGAGAAGTATAC